AAAGAGTAAATCTACCTTTCCAAGGATGGAAAATTTATTCAGATAATGCTTGAGAATTCATGTATGTCACAACACGGTAAGAAAAGGTAGAAATCTCACTGTTCCTCATCTCTCCCCTACTGCTTAACCACTCCAGACATTGTATTGTATTGCTGTCATTACCATTTCTGCTCAGTGGAGGCCCCAGGCACTAATCCCACAGGCAACTGCATGGTATCCTAAGAACACACAACTTTTCCATTAAAAAGCTGTAGTTTCTGTCTCTCTGGCTATACTGGTGATTCTCCGGTAATTTCAATACTTTAAAAGGCTGCAGCAGCATGCAAAAGAATTTCATTTCTTTAAAAAAAAAAGTTAAGAAAGGTCTCCAGGAGATGGTGAGTTTTATTTTGCCTTGACTGAATAGAGGTTTGATTTGCTCTCGAATGTTCCAGGGTGGAGAAAGACTAGGAGAAAGCACAGGATGTAGAGGTCTATTCAGTGTAGTCTTCTCCCTCGTTTTCATCTTCACCATCCATGGAGAGAGCAGCGTACTTGCTTGCAGAACTGAACTTCTATAAAAGATGAGAGTGACAAAATAATGAAGGTCTTGGGTTGCCCTGTCAAAAACTGTACAAAGAGCGGGGTGTGGTGGTGCACATCTAACATGCCAGCACCTGCAAGGCTGAGGCAGGTCATCAGGAGTGTTCAAGACCAGCTTGGGCTATACAGCAAGACCCTGCCTCAACCACCCCCACACCAACGAATAATGAGACTAAAGCAGGGATGATAGCTCAGTCAATGCCCATGTGCTGCTCAGTGTTTTCCAGAGTATCGGGGGAGGGTCAGCCATGGTACTTTTTACTTTGCAGAAGAGTAAGAGCGAAGAAAGGCGGCACTGAGGAAAGAACCTAATCTAAACTTCCTCCATTAGTTTGAAGAAATATCTACACCTCATTTTCAGCCATTCTGCAGTCCCAAATGTAAAGGGGAGTCCAATGGCAAGAGTGAACAAGAGAAGGTAGGCCCTTAACACTCACAGAGGCTGGATTTTCCTCGGGTTTCTTTGGCTCAGGTGCAGATCTAGAGTCTTGATCCTTTTTGCCATCTTTCCTGCAGATTTAAACATAAAACCACATCTTTGGATGGGCTTGTGCAATGCACACAGGCACAGGTGCACTTCTAGGGTACCTCCCTGCAGTCACCAGTCTGTTCTCCGCATTTTGCTATTTTCACATTCTCCAAATGAACTATCTATATGTGCTGACTTCAGTTTTTTTACAGTAAAAGATCTGGTGGTGGTTGGAGAACCAAAAAGTTCCTAATTTCTAACATCATATAAAAGACTTACAAATAAAGAATCCATGCATACCTACCTATCTGACTCCTTCCAATGGTCTTTGTTCCCCCCATCTCCTGGACCACGGCTGGGGTTCCCAGTTTGGCCTTTCTGGCTACTCACCCCATTATTTTCATCTGCTTGGGCAGAAATGCAAAAACAAAGAAAAATGAAAATGATCAATTTGTATGTTTCAGATGCACTTCAAACTAAGTAATACTGGATCTAAATG